GCAGCGATGCTTATATGGCAGGGGAGATATCAGCTCTTTGCCTCTTCCTCTTGTAGGGCCATTCTTGTTCTGAAGGACACCATCGTGCCCATGAGCTGCGAGTTCACGCCCGAGACAGAGAGGCAGCGACTCCAGCACTTGGTGAGTGACTCCTTTCACACATCAGACAACCACCTTTGGTCCAGGAGAGCTTGTGATGAGAGCATCACTTGCTTCCTTAAGGACTATAAGCACTGTGGGGCCAGAATGTCATTTGACACCTGCCATGGAGGGCTGTGAACAAGATTCAACTAACAGCATTTAGTATTAGAGAGGCTTACATCCAGCTTGTCCCCTTGTTTTCCTGGTTTTGTTCCCATTCTGCAGCCAGGAGTGCCAGTTCCAAGCCAGGAGCAGAGCCCACCTATCCTCGTGTCTTTCTTCCCTCCTTCAGGCTTTTCTCTTCCCCAAACTCCTGGACGGAGAGTTCACGCGCTTTGAGTTTCCACGGAGGCTGAAGGGAGATGACGTGGGTCAGAAAGTCCTGTACCGGGATTACTTCATGGAGGGCTGGTGAGTCTTTTCTGCGTGGGGACAGGGCAGCTTTACCTGCTAGTAGCCATGGGAAGGTGAAGGGGACTGTCTGAATGCAGCAGCAGTGAACATGAGAGCAGTGGGTGTAAAACTATGTGCAGCCTCCCAGCAGCAGCTCTGCCCTGCCTGAAAAACTGACCAGTGGAGGGAGGTTAAGGAGCTTCTGTGAGCTTCTGGGCTCTTACAACCTCAGGCAATGAGCCCCACCTTGATGCAGGTACAAGGAAAGGAAGAGGAGAGGGAGAAACAGTTGGGCATTCAGCAAAGGGTTATTCTTTACTGCACCTGCTTCAAGTAGTCACCTTATCCCTTCTTCAGGCAGCTCCCTGTGCGTGGGGACACCCCGAGGGTTGAACCACAGTTGTAATGCTCAGACTGAGTTGTAACATCAAATGGACAAATTAAATCAACACTGAATCCTCTGTTCTAGGGGATACAAGCTGGTGGAGAAAGCTGACCTCAAGTATCCTCTTGTCCATGGTCATGGGAAGCAGGTAGTTCAATGCTTTACACACCGGGAGGGCAGAGATGAGTGCTGGGTGTTCCCAGAGCATCCCAATCACACACATTCATGCTCTGAGGCTCCCCAGCATGGCACAGACACAGCTCTGCACAGCGCTGACACAGCAGCTTCCATTGCAACAAACTGCCTGTGAGCAAGTGCAGAGCAGGAGGAGGTGTATACCAGATCCTCCAGAGCCAAGAGGTTTCATCCTCCTCCAAAACACCTCCTAATGGAGCGGATGGCAGCCCTGATCTGGCCTGGCCTTTCCTCCTCTCCGTTTGCACACAAGAAACCATTCCAGCTGTAATTTCATGTTGCAGTCAAAAGATCCCAAGTCAGATGTCAACCTCCAGCCCTAACCAGTGCCTTTCCCAGCGGAGCAGCTGAGGAAAGGAGTCTGGAGAGGGAAGGAGGCGGGGAGAAGCAGTGACTGCACACATCCAGTGCTCGCCCTGCCACCACCAGTGGTGCAACCCAAATGCCGGCCCTTTGCAAAGATTCAGTGCAGAACCTCCTTTGCAAAAACAAAGGACCATTTATTTCAAGCCAGTGTAATTCTCTTCCTTGCCATCTCGAATCAAAAACTGATACCACCATGGGCTTCTCGAGGCCTGTAGTACACCCTACTGACTCCGGAGCACACCATGAGCCATCACCATGAGCGGCCATCCATGTGCTGGCTGTCCAACTCCATGCTCACATTAGGCCATCATTTCCACTCATTCCTCCATCTCTGAAGATTCCTGGGGCAGCTCTGGGTGATATTTGGGTAAAGGTTTTAAAGGCAATGCATAAATCATTCAGGACAAGCTGTGCATCTGCCATTAAAGGTGCCACGTTCTTACATTTGTTTTCTTTGGGGCCAGGCTCGCTTGCTGGGGACCCTGGCTGTCTCTCGAGGTTTAGGGGATCATCAACTCAAAGTCATCGACACCAACATTGAAGTGAAACCTTTTCTCTCTTGCATTCCTAAGGTTAGTCATGGCACATGGGAGTTGCAGGATGGTGGTGGAATTATGCCGCTCCTCCTCTCTAGCACCCACATTTTGGAGACCGTGCAGGTCTCAGCCACATCCTTTTTCCATCTTCCTTCTCTCTGCACATTGCCCCAAGACAGAGAATCCCCAAGGCAGAATAATCTAGAAGCCCAGCAGCAAGGGGACATAAAACATTGAAAGCACCCTGATCCCACTGTAAGTCCTCTCTCAGGGGAAGTCATCTGCCTTACCCCTCCCGTACGTTGCAGCAATTGAAGTTACTATCAGCATCCTGACCAGAACAGAATACACACACCTGCTAGAGGAGGTTTTAGAGCAGGTACACACTCAACTACTTGGAGAAGTTTTGCAGTCTGTGATTACCCTCACACAGGGAAGCCAAAGAATCACAGAGCTGTTTGATGCTCCCAAAGCCAGGTGCAATATGGGAAACATGAGAACCCTTGGTAATTACCTGGAGTTTTCACACATGAGAAAGCCCTCTAATTTACTCCTGTGCTTTCCAGGTGAACGTATTTGACTTTGCTCTGCATGACATTAAGGAAAACGACGTCCTCATCATGGCAACTGATGGCCTTTGGGACATTTTGTGCAACAAAGAGGTGGCCCACATGGCCAGGAGCTTCCTTGCAGAAAACAGGACAGATCCCCACAGGTAACAACAGTTTTGCCATCCTTTCCCTTTCCAAAGAACCTGTCTGGAGCAGCAGGCTGAGATCACTTGGCTTCTAGGTCAGCTCCAACAGGACCAAGCGCTCCTTTCTGTGATTCTGGAAGGACTGGACACCGGTCTTTCCCCATCCTAAAGAAGCAGCTGGTGTCTTAGGAAATCTAGTAACACAAAGCCCCACCTCAATGTTGTTCTTGACAGGCAGTGTTGTGCCAGACCGAAACTCACTTCTCTTTGTACACACAGATTTTCAGAACTGGCCAAGTGCTTGGTACGCAGGGCAAGAGGAAAGAAGATAGGCCACCAGTGGATGCTGGATGATAGCCGTGAGGCATCCTACGATGACATCTCTGTATTTGTCGTCCCACTACACAACAGGGATGAGGACTGCTAGCACGATGTGCAGCATCTTGGTGCCCCCCTGCTGCGGCACTGTTCAGCATCAGTGCAAGACTGAGGGATTGCTGCTGTGCGTGCACTCTTCCAGTAAAACCACCTGACACAGAACCTGAAAATGCACGGCCAGCCTTTGTGCAGAGGATCAACAAGAATATGAACTTCCTATAAACATGCACAAGAAGAACAGCTGGCAACAAGTCATTCCTCGTACTCTTTTTTTTATTGTTGTGCTAATGACAGATTGCCAAAGTGGCCACGCAAGCCAAAGAGCAATATTTAAGGTCTTTGCAGGACAATGAGCCTCAAATCCACATTTCTAGTGGTTCTAGAGGCCTATCCTCCTCCTTAATATTAAAGAATGAGGATCAAGTAAGATCCAACCAGCCTGGAATACTGGATTTTAGTCAGACTTGAACTGAGTTTTGCAAAACTGGATGTATAAGCTACAAGTGTCCTTCATGTCCATTTGCTGCAACACAAGATCAACTAAAAAAAAAAAACAAACAACCAGAAGCTGTTGCTAGGACAGCATTACATACAGCAGCAGCCCCAGACCTCTACCAGTTGAGAACGTTCCCATTTATAGGCAGTACCACCTCGAAAAAGAAGATGTTACCTGATGGATCTACGCATCAGTGCACAGGAGCTTCCCCTGCAAGGGTAGATGCCTTACTTATTTAAGAGCTTTTGTGTAATGTGCTATGTACCCAGTGTACAGATCGCTAAGAACTGTTAGTCCAGAACACTCACTAACACTTTAGAGGTCATTTCTGCCACTGACAATGAGGCTGGTTTCGTAGCAGTAGTGCTGATGAGAACTGTTTAAATACAGCAGCTGATTCCTTAGAAGAGCTCCAAGCAAGATAGAACTGGTCAAATTTGTCTGGAGTGCTGAACCACAAGTGCTATGGTCATTACAACAGAAGACAAGCCCAAATGAGCTGTGCCTTAAACTTTTATGATCTGCTCTTAACCTGTTCAGTAGCCAGGTGAATTCAGGTCTAGACAAGCATCCCATCTCCCCAGGTCCTCACTTTGTTTTCATTATTCCTTGCACAAGTTGCAGTGCTCACCAGTGAAGTGGACAAACTCACACCTTTGTTAACTGCTTGAGTTCCATAAGGATGAAAGACCTAATAAAAGAAAATTTTCCTATCTTCTTCCAGCTTTGTTCCTGTTCAGTTTTACACCGATCTGACATGAAAGAAAAACGGCCTTAAAAAACCACAGGGGAGCTTTCACCCCTAACCTATTTGTTGCTAGAAGTATTCCCCAAGCAGTATCACCCCAAAAGGCTTGGTGTCAGATTATTTCTCGCAGTACAAGGCCTGGACTCAGGAAGGATGCAGCCTTCTAAGGTATCTGCTCATGGTTTAAGCAAGCAGTATTAAAAAACAAAACCAAACCAAAACCAAAAAAAAACACAACTCTCCAGCTTCACTTTCTCCCATCCTCTTGAGTTTAACCTGAAAATAACACATGGGATTTTACTTATGTTAACTCAACGCTGCCATCCCCTGTATGATCCAAGTCTCCTGCTACAGGAACTTGGCGAGCTATTTCCCCACCTTCCTACTGAGAAAGGGCTCTGTTCATATCCAGATCAGTCTCCTGTGAACACTCCTCTACCTAGAACATTACCTCAACAAGACCGCTTCCCTATCCCAATACATTTCTCGTGAAGAAAATCCTCTTAAGGTTACATAGGAATAGCTTTAGAGCCTCAGTTTGCACTGCACAACTTCTGACTTTCCAAACTAAATGAGACTTTTAAAATAGATTTCTCCCACTCCCCTCTATGAAACCAGCAAGTCATATCACACCAGACAAAGGCAGAATTTACAGCACTCAACAATCTGTCTACAAAATATTTATTGGTAACAGCCACAATATTGAATTTTCCACATATGTAATATTTTGTGACAAAGAATAATTTGACTTCATGTATTTACACTCATCTGCAGATACCACCTAGCAGTAAAATTTACAATACCAGCTCGTAACCAAAGAGACCAGCTTCTTCTCAACAGGAGACTCTTAAAGTGCAAATATAGTCAGAAGCAGCACTGGGAAAGACACACTGCTGCTTCCAAATTTGTTCACTCAAGTGCTTCCATGTCCTCCAGAGCAGTAGCTGGGACATTAACCAAGGATGTGTGAGCCTCAAGAAGTCAGAAAGACTAACAGTCTCCTACAGCCCACGCAGATGAGCTCAGCCAACATCACTCGTTCAGGGGTGGGCTGTTGAGTCTCGCTTCCCCCTCATTTTTATTACATCCCCAAAAACAGAGGGTTCCTCTTAAAGATCTCAAATTTGGTTGGTAGGGCACAGAATGCTGTTTCCTGCTTGGTTTTACAGAAGTGTGGACACCGCTGCATTCAGGAGTGCTGTTGTTAATGAGGTATGTTTCTCATTAGCTGGGTGCCAGGAAGAGCACGGGAAGCACAGTCCTGGTACTTTTAGAGAAGCATGTAGAAGCTGGAAGCCAAAACCTTTATTCACCTAGTCTAGAAATGGTCAATACTGAAGTTGATACTCCTTGGCACATTTCCCTCTTTTAAAGGCAAATGGAAAACACTCACTGCTACATCAACTAATAAAGATGTCTTTACCTCTGTGTGGGTGGCAGCAGGCCTCGGGAAAGCATTCAGTTTTAACTTTGAACTGAGCATTATAGTGCGGTGTTGTGCATAAACCCATGAATTTATCATCACTCCAGAATGCTACTGATATTCTTAATCTGTATGTCCTTCTAGATTGGTCCTTTGGTCCTCTTTTTAAAAGATTTCATGCCGCAATGCACACAGTTTACAACACTGCAAGCAGAAGAGAACTGAACGTTTCTTAGACAAGCACTCAAACCACATCAGCAAAGAACATTTTTAGAGTAACAGATTTCCAAATGCTTCCCTGTTAAAAATAACAGGAAAAAACATCTGGGGGGGTATCCATTCACTTCTTCAGGCATCAGACTTTAAAACCCTGAAAGAACATTTGCTACAGAAAGTCAAACTGTTAAAATGCACTACAAACCCCAAAGAGCTGTATGTTACAAACCACTGCAAAACACGGCTGCTTACAGGAACACTGACAATGGTAAAATAGCACCAAGCAGCCTGAAGTGCAACAACACTGAGCTTAAGAGGTGGCTGTGGAAACCTTGTCAGCTGTGAGGACTGAGATACCCATCTCCCTTCGCCCTGGGCATTTATAGGTGCTGGTGGGACAGTACATGCTGGGAAGAGGGATGCTGGTGTGGCATCATGAATCTCTCTCATCTGCAACTCTAACAGCCGAATATCTTGGTGAGATCACAAGCACTGTTCCATTGCTCCCTTCAGTCCTCCACTCTGTGGGAAGGACACATCACAGGTGATGCCATTGGAAATGGCTCTAAATATGTGCAAGAGCATTAGGGTAGGCAAGCCACAGAGCCTTAGCAGAAACCAACCACAGCATCGATTCAAACATCAAGTTTATCAGGCAGCCTCGTGCACAGCAGTCTTTCTGACAACTGTCCCAGGCAGACACTGCAGCTCGGTGTGTACTGCTGCTTTAAAGGAACTGACAGTGGAGAACACTGGTTCCAAATCCCCAGCTCTTAGCGCAGCACATTTCCACTTGACAAGGGCTGAAAAACAAACAAACAAACAAAAAAAAAATGGAAAGAGGGCAAGGAAAAGCAAAACAGAAGCTGTTCTATAAGCCAATTTACTTGCGGAGAGAGATGTTCTGAATTATATACAGGGCCTCACAGCTGAGATGAACATTGGTGTAATACGGAAGACGCAGACAGCTGACCTAAGGCAAAATGCTCAAGCACTGTTTTCCTGTACGGACTGAAGCTTGAGGGCACGGAGAACATGCCCATTACTGTTTGCCACCTTGCCAGCATTTTGCATTTGGGAGTGGTCACGTACGTGTGACAGCGAGGGAAAGAATGGACTTCCCAAGCTGTGACCCAGGATATAAAACCAAGAACACTGAGAAAGGTAAGAATACAATGAATAATGAATGCCACATTGCTGAGCCTCTCGTGGCCTACCGTTGGATGCATCTAATCAGCAGTATTTGAGGAGAAAGAACCTGGAACCAGGCCTGAAGACTGGCTTGCCAACATTTCTGTACCACTTGCCACTGAGCCCCTCTGGAGCAGGAGAGTGCATCCCTCCCATCTCCCTTGGCGCAGGGCCACAGCAGAGAGAAGCCACCACAACTGTGTTAGATTTCTTTTAAAAGCAACCCCATCTAACAAAGGAGGCATTGCTCTTTTGGGGCTGAAAACCTGCAAACCCTGTTAACAAAATGCATAATGAACTAACCGCATGCTGTTGGCGTCAAAGGGATACAGGTCTAAGCCCAGAGTCAGGGCTTAATTTAACGGAGCTTATTTACAAACCAGGAGGGGAAAATTGCATTGGTAGGTAGGTAAGGTAAACAGCCTAGACACCCCACAATACTGGCCCACATCAAGTTCTTTAATATCTAAAAGTAAAAAAATATGGCCCATTCCCACTGCCCTCCCCCCACATTATTTACAAGATCAGCCAAGATGATACATAAGGAAGATGCACAGGCAGACTGTGCTTTCAGTCTCAGTTTGGTTTCTCCATCTTCCTGCTGACAGACTCCTTTATTGCTTGGGACACTGACCAGACCTCATCAGTATTGTGTGCGCCCTTCGGGATGCTGGCACAGCAAACAGCAGGGAGGCTTCTTCAAGCTCCGGCAGTGGAAAAAAAAACTGCATGGTTTGTTGCACGCTAAGTCGCCAAAAAAGGATGATAGGATGTATGATGTAAATTTAGTCACCCACTCTCAGCATGTGTTCAACTGCAAGAGGCTTCAGCATCTGCTATTTGAGTTGAAAATCGTCAGTGTTCGTGTTCACATTTGGCACAGAAGTAACTTTCCATCTGTGGGTTGCAGTGAAACTGAGATCCCAGATGTAAAAAACTTGCACTTAGGGGAAGTAACTGCACAATCCACCTCGGAACATCAATTGCCTTGTGCACTTACAGAAGAACGAACAATTACAGCTTAAAAACTGCCACAAGCATTTTGTAAATACAGTAGTCTCCACTGCTCTCAAAAATAATACTGTGCCAGTTCCAACTTCAGCTGAAGCCTGCTGGGCATGGACTGGAAGGTAAGAAAGCATTTGGTGGTACTCCCGAGCACACTAGGAGGTCAAGTGGAGGAGTCCTTGGAAAGGAATGCAGCCAATAATGTAAGACATACGGAAACATACATAGGAATGGGAACACAGTCTAGGAGATGTAGGCAATTCCAATACTATCCTTGCAAGAATATGCTGCTGTTAGCAGTATGGAAAGTCATCTGACAGTAGCCGCAGTGTAGGAATTAGTCATCAATAGTTGGCAACCAAAAGGCCTGTAAAAGAGGAAAGAAAGAACATCTTTTACAGAGCAGAATACAAATCTCTTACAGAACAAGTCAGGAAGTGCTTGCTGCTCCCTTCCATAACTGCTCAGGCAAAAACTAGTGGAGAGGCAGTAACACCCTCCCAGGGCTTTAAATCCTTTCTTAGACTGGTTTGGTTTGCATTGCACATTCTCCAGAGCAAGCCAGTCTTCTGAAGAATGTCCAGCAATGTCCAGCGCTGTCCAGCAACCTAAACACTCACACTTCTGCTGTGTGAGTGTCCAGGAAGAATGAAAATACCAGCGCTGTCCAGCAACCTAAACACTCACACATTCATCCACTGCCCCATCTTCATGCCCCTGTTTTCTTGCCAGTATCTGGTGTTCCACCCCATGTACCTACCCACCAGGTAAGGTGCAGCCAAGGCATGACAGAGGCCTGGCTGTCACCAAAAGCCCAAAGTAATGCCCACCGGTGGCACCAAACTTGGAGATTCCTTTCCAAAAGGGTCAGCACATCATCAAAGTAGGAGGAACTTACCATATTTGAACATGCACTAGCAAAAGTCATGAATTTGGGGTTGAACTGCAGACAGGTTATAGGACCTGTGTGTTTCCCATCCAGCACAGCCACTTTCATCCCGCTTTCCCCGTTCCATACGTGGATCTTTCCATCCTCTGACCCTACAGACAGGAGTGGAAAAACAAGATACACAAGATATATTGGAGAGGCCAGCAAAGAAAGTAAAGTTTAAAATCTGTCAGCAAACCATAGAACAAGCAAAGCTCCTCTTCATAGCTTAACTTTCCAAATTCTCAAAAGCATCACTACAGCAATTACAAAATATCACTGGAGTTCACACATCTGTATTCAAACATAAGGTTTGTATCCTTGCACCATGGAGACCCAGCACAACACTGGCAAAGACATTAACAGCCACAGTCACTCATTTGAAAACCAGAGCTGACACCAACCAAGTAAGGAGGAAAGACCCTTGTCAACTTGCACTGACATATGAGAGGACAAAATTTGTGAGTAAGAATCATTGTTCATACAAGTTCTCAGTTCAGGCACAGAACTAGATAAATATTTCATTAGGTAGGCACAGAATCAAATCAAAGACTTTCCACTGAAGCTTTCAGTGCACTACGCCAAATACCAGAAGTTCAATGAAGATGTGGACTCCCAAAATTACAACAATAAGGTAGGTTTTCTCACTTCAAAATGTCATTTTACAAACATTGCTATTTTCAGGATAAATTCTGAAGCTGGGTGCTTAACAGTTTTGCAATTTAGCTTCATTTCACTCATTTTAAATAGTATTCCCAATAAAACGCATGGAATTTTCATATGCTCCTCTATTTACACACTTGGCCTTTCAGGTAGGAAAAATTAAGGAGTGCAAGTTACAACTTAACCGTATTTAAAACTTGAACAGAAAAGAATTTTGGAACTTTTTCCACCAAAATTTTCATTTGGAAGGCCACAGCATGAAGGTAAATTTATGCAATAAAGTGCCCTCCAGAGACAGACTAAACATCAGGTTGAAGAAAGTAGGAACAATCTCTTCTTCTCCACAGTGAGAAAGTTCTCAGCTAGAACAAAATAAAGTTTTGCCAAGACATACACAGGCTCATGTAAATTTCATTCTCAAAGAGTAAGTGACTAATGAAACAGAATATTCCTGCAAACCTAAAAGGGGCTTATAGCTACATTATATTATTTAAATACTTCCTGTTTCCCAACAAAGACAATTGGAGGCCTGAAAAAAACAGACAATTTAAGAGCACTTAAATTTCTTCAAAGAAGTGTCTTACCTATCATGATGAACTGAGAGTCTGGTGTGAATGACGCCTCCAGTGTGACAGCCTTACTATTGTTGTATCCCTGTAGCACAAAACGGGAGAATATATGGTAGAGTGTTCAGTAAGCTCACAACCAAAAGGGCAAACCCCCCTCTATGATACTGCAGAGCTCCACATGCAGGTGGGCTGGAAGGCTACTGCTTTTTGTCATAACGTGCCTAAATTTATTTGCCCTCACTGATGAGAAAGCAGAAACCTGCACAAAGAAGAGGTATAGCACTAGCCTTTAATGGGGAAATAAAGCTTCAAAGAATGACTAACAACCAAAATAAATTAGAAGACCAGCCAGCTTGCAAACAACTGCCTTTTTGTATCTGTACAGGAGACTGAGACACAGCCCAGAAGATCTCAAAAACATCCTACTTATTTTTCATGTGTGTTCATCTCATCCCAGACCAGCACCTAATGCCAAATTTCAAGTAGGTAACACATGTAACGTGCTCACCCCAAATGTGTGCAGGACAGCTCCTTTAAAGGCATCAATCAGTCGAATGAAGCCTCCATTCGTTGATATAAGGATGAGTTTGCCATCGTTACTGAACTTCAGGCCTGTCCACTCACACGTTCGGTCATACTGCATCTTAAACGTAGCAAACGGCCCCTTCAAAGAAAAAAAAGGAGGAATATGATGCATTACTGCTAACAAGAATCCACTTTTAACCTTAGCTCAGAAAGAAACTATATGAAATGAAAAAAGAAAAGAACAATGACAAAGCCTGAACCCTGTTGGAACAGGTTGGAGTTAGTGGATATGAACTTTAACATTGGGTTCAAAAGTAAATTTCAGGAACTGGTGACATCTCTGTCTATTAGACATGCACCAACCAAAAAACTCTCTAGGTGCCAAGTAGGGACACCCCAGATAGCGAGTTGGAACAAACGAGTCTCTAAGCACTGAGTTTTTTACTTCTCACAAGCTAAAAAGTGTAGGAAATGAAGTTAGGGTAGCTCACCTTGTCAAAAGAGCGGAGATCATAAAGCTTCACCATTTCTGAATTGACACCAGCAGCAAAAATCAAGCCTTCTGGGTCAAAAGAACACACAGGTTTCCCCTGAAGGTGCATTAAACCCTACAAAACAGAGGAACTCCAAGTTATTTTGCTGAGCTGATATTTGCATTTCTACCAGCACCTTTGGAGAGCGCACTGTGAGGGGGACATGAGCAGGACAGCAGCCTACAGGTGGAATGACTGAATTTCAATTATGAATATTGAGGTTTTATGAAGTTTCAAAGTCAGCTTCCCAAAAGCAACTTGACTATTTCATATCATCACACAGAGTTTCCAGTTTGCTGCAATGACAAAGGTTACCTTGGAACAAATCAAGATCTCATTAGAACTGTCATTCATTCAAAAAGTATATCGAGAAGGGGGGATGTTGTGGCTGTATCAGCAATCATATCAGGCAGTTCCACAAAATACCGCTGCTGGAATCGATAGTGATGTGCTACCAATTATGGTTGTGAAGGAGGGAAAAAAAGGTATTTTGGAAGCAAGCTGAAACAGCTCTGTAAACACCTCTACTGAACTTTCCATTCCAGCTTAATGAAAAACTCATACTGTCTGGAAGCTATCAGACCTTACCTATTTTTATGGCTTACTTTTAATGTCAATTTTTCTTTCATTGATGTTATAAAAGACCTGAGATATATGATTTATGTAAATATGTTATTTATATATACAGCCCTAATGAGAAGGACCTGGGGGTGTCCTTCCAATGAGAAGGACCCTTCCAATCCAAATTATTCTGATTTTTGGTATACTGACTGGCAGGCCTATGTGTTAGCCAAATGTTTTTATGCCACTGTTGATTAAAGTCAACAACACACTTAAGTTTCTGAATTTCTGAAATATCGTTCCTCAGTAGCTTTTACTACTACTTTTTTCTAATTTAGGTTAGTTTCTCCCTGACATCTCTGAAGGCTAGGCAGTAAGCTAGAAAATGCTCAGGACCCTCAAAATCAGGACATCCTTGAGGTTTCACGATCATGTTTCAAGCCACTGTGGCTGCCATCTGATGGGCAAATGGAATATTACAAGTAACACTTCCTCAACCCATTTCCCAACCTCTGCTGGATGCAGCTTCTAGTTACAAGCCTCGTTTTACTATTCTTAAAACTTCAAACACTAGTGTAAATCACAGAGCTGCCACCAAATTTACAACCTAGGCATCTGTTGCAACTTCAAGACTGAGATTCATTCCAAAGCAAAGTTACACGTTCACATTAAAGGCACACTCCCACAGATAGGCAAAATTAAAATCTCTAGTTAGAAAACAGTTATTTTTAGGGCCACTAAAACTATTTTGTGAGAAACGTAGCTGTAAATGCAAAAGGAAATAAAGGTTACAACATTTGAAATCAGTAACTAGCCCTCTTATGGGTGGGCTCAGTGAGATGAGCATACAGTGCTATGGTATGACCTATAGGGAACTGACAAAACAGCTCATCACCACTGAAAGGTGGAGATTTATGGGCAGTCTTATTTCCTTGCCACCTGCTGCCAGCTTGGATATTTTTTTCACTATGTGCAAGCTCATTTCCACTAAAATATACAGAAATCTACTCTATCAAAATAAATAAAAATGCATAGGGTTTTGCCTTGCTTTAAGGAAGCTGCCTCTGCTGAGGGACAGATCTGATGAACAATAAAGGTGATAGGAGGAGTGGGTAGACCATATTGCTGCTACGTTACTTCATATCAGCTGTTTCTTCATCAAACTTAATTGCATCAAGACAATTTAAACAACTGCACTATGAACGTTTGAAATGCATCTCCCAATGCCACTTCTGTTACCTTTCCCAACCCATGAGAGACACAGCCTGATTAACAAGCTGATAATACCCAGATCTTCTCATTTCATCAGCTGTGGGTGTTACTTCTTGCTCTTCCCAGTGTCTCTCCAGCACAGAGACATAGGTGGAAGTGATTGGTGTTACACAATGTGACATATTTAAGGATTCAGAAGAGTGCTTTTTTTTTTTTTTTGATCTGGACTCCTCCAGCATTCTGGGAAGGTGTTAACAATACAGCAGCAGTAGTAGTTTTGTATCCTAACAAGCATGCATCCATTTTGCATCCTTCTAACTGAAAATACAACACACAAAGTAGGCACATGAATTTGATATTGTACCTGGCAATTTGGAGAGCGGAGATCCCAAAGGCGAATAGTTTTATCAAGGGACCCAGAAATAAAAGTATCATCCACTGGAGACATTGAAAGGGCGACCACTCTGCAACACAGAAGAACATTCCTCAAAGACAGAGGAAAGGAGTTAATGGAGCAACACTTAACCCACCAGCTGTGTATAAGCCCGTAACTGCCAAGAACAGTTCTACAAAGCAAAAACCAGAGTGAACTGAGCACAACACAATTCAAGCTCATCACAGACATTATTTCAATTTCTCCTGTACTGTCCCCAAGCCACATCTTACCTTTTGGTATGTCCCGGGAAATACCGAATGTATTTGTTGTCATGCAGCGAGAGGTATCGGATTGTATCTGAAACCATAAACAAACCATAAGCTTTAGTACACCATGAGCATAACCTTATCCAAAAAGTAGTCACACAGTAAAGTTGCTCTCCACAGCAACAGCAGTTTTGCCACAGTGAGTAAGTCTGGTCATTTGATTTCAAGTCAGACCTCAAGCAAACAAGTTTCCAAGGCAGAAGAGGAAGTCAAGCACCAGGAAGGATACTTCCCACAGCCTGAAGTCATATTACATCTTAAAGACAAACCTTCATGTGATTGTTACATGTCAATTTCAAAGTTGCTCAAATTAAAGCACCACTAGGTTTTATTCCCTCATTCTCACAAAATCAGGACATTTCAAGTTGATAACATTTTTATTTGTTGCTTTACAGGATGAATATTGCTATTTTACCTACATACTTATCCATCAAGTAAGTCTCCAACTGAACAGTAAGCTTAGGAAATACGTTAATTTATCCACAAAGGAGAAAACATAAACTTGAAAATCAGGACAAGATCATTTCAAAAATTAAACGAGAGCAGCACTGTTTCCCAACTGATGACTTTAATATGAATGAAGACTAACATACTAAGGGTAACCCAGAATTTTGGAAGACATTGTTGAGACTTTAGTCCAAGATTCAAATAAATCCTTGTAAGAGAAAGCAATTTGATGACATATTAGAGCACAGAAGTAATTTTATTAAACCTTTTTACACAGATGCATTTGAGCAGTGAAACATGAGGAGCGAAAAGCTAAACATCTGACATCTGAAAGCAGCTTTCAGAAGGAAGGACTAACAGCATCAAAATCATTTCTAATGTTAATTAAAGGAAACTAGTTTAAGCTACTGCTGGATGGAAAAGATTGGCATGATGCATGTGCTCCATACAGTGCTGAGAGACTCCATGCTGCTGTAACAAGAGGCTTCAAGGAAACTGAAGGAAAAGGACATTTTTACTTCTGACTCAGGAGAACAAGAGTCAACAGGATGCAATATGCAAGGAGCACTTTAACACTCCTAAGGGCTATGATGTTAGTTTTGTTTGTTTTTTTTTGAAAGGATCATTTTGCAAAATGTGGTCTCTGAAGATGTTACCATTTTTACCTGAAATTTCACATCAAACTGAGATCAGAGTTCCAAAGCATCCTCCAGCATTTGCCAATAAAATTAAGGCTGGCTGATCAAGCAGGAAAGATAATGCAGGTGACACACTGTTCTGAAAGCCTCTGTGTGACCTTGGGTGGCTATCCAAAACACAAATCCCTAAGATCGGCATCACATTCCATCATAAGAACCAACCTGCTTCAAGCACGCTGTTAAAGCACATCTGTACTTCTTCCCGTGAGACCCATCATTACCTGATTTCCACAGTACCCATGCAGATTTCTTGGCAAAAGAAGAAGCCGTTGGGAACTGCAATCGCGTGATCCATTTTGTTGTCAGCGCTCTGTCCCAGGCAAGGCAGTGGCCTGTACAGTTATCTCCTGTACCGGGTGGTATCATAGACCCTCAAACTGTACAAACTACTACCTCAGCCTGGAATCAGGCAAGTGGAACTTGATTCGAAGGTCCTGAGGAAGTCTTCAGAAATAAATGGATTGGTAGCAATTCCGACATGCAGAAAATGCTTGGGAGCAAGCAGCAGCAGTCCTACATGTTCCTCAGTTTATTTATCCTTCCCAAAACTGCAGGAAGGGCTACCACATATTTACCTGTATTAGAGACTACTGAGTGTCTGCAATCCTACAGAATGCACCTTTTTTTTTTTATTACATTTACTTTCACATTTTCATTCCAATTCAGCATTTATCATGTTTTAATTCAGAATCAACACATTCTAAGTTTTGATTCCTCAAAGACTTACCAATGCTTATAAACAAAAACTTCAAATGCAAAATAGCATTAAGAACTGTTGATTCCATTGTTAATCATTAATTAATTGTGAATTAAAATAACAACCAAGTCAGAACTGCTACATAATTAAGTACCATAATAAAAAACAGTAAGCAGGCTGTGAAAGAGAACTACTATTCCAAAAACAGAGTTTACAAATACAATGTTAAAAACAATTTATGAAGTGCTGTGCTAAGACACTTGGTCACTGAAGAACAGTTAGATGTCAACAGCGACAGTGAGACGGAATTTGAAGAACTGATTGACCCTAGCTGGTTCCAGCTTTGGGAAGAAGCGTTGCCATATGGAAGGATTAACGATCTATTTATACATGTCCTTTTATTTGAAAGTCAAATTAAACTTGAATCCTTACATTAACAGAGAGTCTGTCACGAGGCTCTATAAAGCCGTTTGATGTTGCTGATTTACAGAATGTAGCCATCACAGACAGTGACTGTGGGAAATATGACATGGAAACCAGTGCTTTGTCTATGCCTATTACATAAAAAAGCAGTGAGCTTTGCTCCTGTTCAGTAGCCCCATCTCAGAAGAGCTCTTCTCCAGTGATTTGCAGTTACCTGATTTTCCTGCCCTCCCTGCTGCAGAAGAACAGAAAAACCATCCCCTTCCTTTGCAGCTGACTTGCCAGTGTACCAGGCAGAGCTATAGCACTAAGCCCACCTTTTGGCCTCATTCTCCTCCTTCGGCATTTCACAGGAGGAAGAAAGTAAGGCACACAAGCTGACTGACTATACTGGTATCAAACAGCAAAGTGAATTTTGAATTCTTATTTTTCTCAGCTCCCCAGAGTCAAGAACTGATTTTTACCTCACTAACCATGCCTAAACACTGTGATGCTGCAGCAACATGACTCATGTCGGTATGCTTGAGGGACTTTCAGTGAGGCGTGCATTAGAGTTGAACATTAAATCCCATCTCAGACAGCATGCTCATCACTTAAAAGTTGCTCTAAGTTTTTTTACAGCTCTTTTGTGCTGTTTATCTAAGCTTGTAATTTCAAGTGTACAGAGATTAAAAATGCTGACCTGCAGTGGATCACTTACCATCTATTTTGTTGGAGCTGTACACGACAGTGTTGGCTGCATGCGTGTATCTGATGAGGTCCACCCCATACTTCTTACTGTACAACGTTCTCTTTGGTCTGTCAGAAGGAAGCAGAAATAATTGTACTCACTGCAACAAAAAGCTCAAACCAAAACCGCTCACACTGACAGTGCCTGTTTTCACTACCGTATTACAGGATTGTTTCAAGAAGTCAGATGTTTGTATACAAAGAAAAGCATTTGTATTTCATTTTCAAACAAGCACCTTGGTACTTTCCAAGACCATCCCTAGACTTAAGTTCCCCATGATGTCCACAAAATTCACTTAATCTCCTTTAAAAATTCCCCCCAATGTCTACTATAAAGAGTTGGAACAGCTACCTTAAGAAGCCCCTGATGTCAAGCTGCACTGTACCTTGCCCTTCCAAATCTCTAGTCCATTTGCTGCATATTTTAGATTCAGAATTTGTCTTTTCACTCTATGCTAGCTCAAAACCTAAAGCAAAGTGTCTCATTCAGAATAGAACTTCTTGGTATTAACACAAACAAATATATAGCAGCGATATAAAAAAAGCACTGGTAACAGAGTGGCTCTCAGACTGCTGCAGAATTGTACTCAAATCCTATCTTAATTAAGCACAAAACTGAAGTGTAACATTACATGACAGAATTAGAGACATTCTAGAGAAAAAAAGACATAAACTGTGTTTTTAAGGGTCCAGTATGCAAGTGATGTACTGCAGTAAAAAATATAAACTGCAAAGCAAACGTAGAAGCAGCAGTTTAGTAAGTGCATCTTTCAGAAGTGGCAGCACGGAAATGTGGTGCTGGTTCTCCACTGTGCTCCTTCCTCTTTCTTTCTCAGCTGAGGCAGCACAGTGGTTCCTGAGCTGGGCAGTGAACCATCACAGGTACTGAGCAGCATTACAAACAGTAACTCCCGGAAGAGATTGTATTTTGAATCCAGAAACTGGTAACTCATTATTACCCAGGCCCATAAAATGTTTTACTAATGCAAACAGAAGATGACAGCACGGGAATGGAATTGAGCAACAGGAGCAGTTTAAACCAACGCTACTGCCAAAGAAGAGTTCAGCAGACTGTCCCCTCAGACAAGGTATTGCTGAAATGCTCAGCCGTTCCCTTGTTTCCATCAGCCCTAAACTGACACACCCAGATAGGAGGAGGAGTTAGAGACTTGGCCTATCATGACTAGAACAGGCATCAGTTCTTACAGACTGATTCTTAAACAGCAGAAGCCATGGGGTCTTACTTCAAACAGGCTTGCCAAGGACAGGTTTCCACCTACACCACCTGTACCAAATCCCAACAGATTCTTCCTCAGTTTCTTCCTGTGTATCACAGTTTCAGAAGCATCACAGATGCAAACATGGTACAAATTTAGAACTGTACATACATCATGTACTTTAAAATACAAAATTTGAATTTGGACAATGAAATCCTATAATTTTATACCTGACATACTTCCCTATGCTGTTTTTGTAGCTATGTCAGCTATGCTGTTGACCAATTTTGTTAGTTAAAAAAACATACTAAGACTCATGTCTATTCTGGCTTTCCCTTATCCATGAAAAGTTTAAAGCTTAGAAGCTCTGTTCAGGATAGAAAAGCAGATTATCAGAAGACCTGCTACAAACAACAAGAACTACCAGCAGCAGCACAGCACCCAGGGGAGCACCTGAAGCAGAGTGGTGACAGGAGCTGGCAGGAGGGAAGGCGCAGGCGTGCTCTGGCAGAGAACAGAGCACGCGCAGAGCAGCGCTGATTCACTGGAGTGCAGCTCTTGAGACAAACTTTGGGATTCTGTGTCAGTACCCAGAGTGTCAGGTACAAGGTCTCTGGGCTACACAGCAGTCTAACCAGAAGAAAAAAACTAGGGGAGTGCCATGCAAAGCAAGCACTAAAAACACCTTGGTAACTCCTGTTTTATGGAGGCCGAGCTCTGCTCCCACGTGGGGACATTCTGCACCCGCAATTTGCTGCTGGTGACAGCTCCAAGTAGTTGAATTAGCAAGTTTCTCTCTCCACGCTATTTAAAATACCGTAGCAAAGAATACCCACACATACACAAGTGTGCTCTGAATGTGAGAAATGCCACAGCTCTATGTAGCTCCTTTTTTCTCATTTTTAAACCGAGAGGAAGAATCCTTTAAAAGCCTGAAAATTCAAAATGTTAAGTCCAAGACCAAAAGTCAAGCAAAGAATATACACAGAGATAAAGACTAACAGATAGAAAAAAGCCCCAGCTTGCCAAAAAAAAAAAAAAAAAAAAAAAAAAAAAAAGAAGGAAAGTACTTCTGTGTTTTAGGAAAGGTGAAGTTTTCATGGAAAATGATAAAAGCAAAAACACATCACTCCACACAGCAGACTGTTTCCAATTTACTTTTTAGAAGTAAAACCAAGAAAACTAAATTCATAGTTTTTAAAAAAAAAATAAAATCACAATCACTGACCATAACCCAAGTTTAAGGTCAATCTATCCAGCCCACTTAAAGACCAAGCAACATCCCCAAAGTGAAGTACTTGAGGAGATTACAGACAAATTTGCTATAAAGAATAGATGAAGCAGGCAGGGTTTGTAGTATCATCCATACCTGGGTTTTTATCACTACTACAGCTACTGCTGGTAAAACCATCACCCAAAGGCAGGCTCCCTGAACACCCAGTGAACACCACAGCCATGTAGGAACAGCTCCAGCATCTCTCGATTTGTACACAATACCAGAATACAAACTGAACCTTAGCTGAACCACCGTTACATCATTCTGGGTTACAGACTCACAGCCACAAGCCTCCTGGTTGAGTCTCAAGGACCACTGCATGCCCCCACACCATTTCATTCTGAAAATTCCCAGTATTCACTCTTAAGCCCTCACAGATGCAGCCAAGCCTCTTGGTTATGCTTTTGAGGCAACCTGTTACAGCAGTATTTCTTGATGCAGAACAGGTTAAAAGAGAGCCACTGTTTAGTTGTTTACACTTTGAAATCCAAGTGGAATCTCATGTCCAGAATTATCAGATGTTCGTGAGGAAGCAGCACAGTTTTCAAGCTTGTCTATGCTCTGACTAGACATGACAAGAGAATCTGTCTTTCAAGGAGATGATCACGTCCTGTCAGCTCTTTGCTACACATCACCGTTCAAACTGTCCCAACGCATTCAGAAACTGAAGTTCATTTCTGCGGGCTTACTTATGCTGACAACACGATTCTCATATTGGTATGGCATATGCCTGAACGGCAAAACAAAGCAAGCCAGGTGAGTGCATACCTATACCATAACTAAACACAGCTGCTTTTTTAATTCAACCAACAGAACTCTTCATAACAAGGTGGGAGGAGTTGTCACTTTTACATGGGAAAAAGTTTTAACTCTCAGACCATTTGCTTAAGTGGGGTACGGCGTACCCAAACCCAGCAAACAGGAAGCTTGAGTTCCATGGCCTTGAAATGCTCGCTTAAGATAAAGAAAAAAGAAACCTGCAGGCCTGAAACCACCAACTGCTCACAACAACAATCATTCACAGCCTCAGCTTTTCACCGGGAAAGTGTGCCCTGCATCCCTAGGTACCTCTCAAAATCACTTCAATGTTGAAGTCAATTGACAGTACTGGAGCAATTTTCAAATTAATTTTATAACCTCTAGAGAAACACAACCTGAAACCTGAGTTACCTTGATGGAACGTGTCCGCCCTGTCCCCCTGCAGCAGGAAGCCATTGATCTTCTACATTTAATTAAAGCAAACCCTCTCACTGTAAAGCATGTATCATTACTAGATGGACATGAAAGCACCAAATGCCTCCCAACCCATCAAACTATTCTTTACAGGTTTGAAAGGGGAAAAGCAATCGATAGTATCTACATTAACATCACTCAAACCTTCTACTGTTGTATATAATTAGGATCTAGAATGCAACCCATGGCAAAAACCATCCATACAACATCACCTACTCTTACAAAAATGAAAATGAAGTCATTTCAAGTAGAAGTTCACTGTATCAGACCAGGAACAGCAACAAGTTTCAACTGAAGATCAAGCAAACTAAACAAAGGCATAAAAAAACTGTCAAAACAGTCTATAAAATTGAGAATATGCAGGATGCAATATTTCAACCACATTAAGCTTTGATTTGCTTGAAAAAGCAGGAGGGTTGGGAGTACCTGGCTAACTAGAAAATACATGTTACACTGACACATCTACCACCTGCTACTCCCAGACACTTCTTTTTCACTCTGTCCTTTTCACTCTCTCTCCTACAGTACACACACTTGTTTTCCTTTCACTTTCTGCATGGATGTGATGCTGCCTAGTCTGATTGTACCCTCACCCACTCACCCACCCACAAAGAAGTCACCAGTAAATTAAGTCTCTAAACCAAGCAGCACATATAAACAAAATGTAAAAGAATTTAAAGAAGCCAAGTGCGTATTTGTACCAGTGAGAAAATGCAATCTCTAGTCTTAGCTTTGCCTTGCATCACCCCCAACTTTTCATTGCTATTGCATGGTACATCAAAAAAACAGCTCGGCATCTAGGTTCCCTTTAGCTTCCGATCCGCAGTTCCAGGACCAGCACCATTCTCTGCTACAGCTTTTACTGAAAACCATCATTAAAACCATGCCCATTTCTTTTTTTTTTTTTAAGAACTTTGAATTATCCAAACATTGAGTTTTTAATGGAATAATAACATCATTTGGATCCATTTGCTCCATCTCTTACAGAATGCAAATGTCTTTTGTTTACTTTCCAAGACATAAACTACTAATGCATACTATTGTTTGTCTCGCTTGCATGCTTTTATCTTCTGAACAGCAGCACCATATCTCTATGGCTGTGCAAATTTCTGGAGTTTTACCTATAAATCAGGACAACCATCTCATGAAAGAAAGAAAACTGGGTAATTCTGTTCAAGGAGAAACAAACACATCTTAGTCCATCTGCATAAAGTAGTATCAGTAAGTAAACATCTTACTTGATTAAACTGACATTGAATAGTGTTTGGGGATGTACATTTCAAGTGTGCTTTACAGAGAAAAATACAACTATCAGAAGACATTCGGAGCACAGGAAACCACCTTTATGCACAACAGTCCCAGGTGCCACCTGGGCACTAGGCTTTACTGAAAATACCGCCAAGCTTTTGTAAAGTATGGTGAACACACATCGCAGCTTCTTGACTTTTTAGTTTGCTTACCCAACAGTCATATGAAGCTGATCAACACAAGGCATCCACACACTTCTCACAGTGATTGCTACTGTTTTAATGCGCGAGACTTACAGCAGAAGAAGCCTGAGAATTCAGTTTGCATCCTTGCAACAATCCGTTGTCCTGGAAACGCGACTGGATTCTAACCCCCTCAACTTCAGCGCTATTTAGTGAACTCTCTATCACACCTGGGAAATTACCAGCTCCAGCCTAATTACCAGCCCCAATCTAGCAGGGATAAGGCACAGAGACACCCACCAGACTGCTGCGCTCCCATCTCCTCACCCCACTTCACCCCTTTACCCAATGTCTCCCATCGCGTATCGCCACCCTGCTGCTTCCCAGCCTCAACTAAAACCACCACAAGAAGAAGCGAGGAGCAGCAGCAGCCCGCGGACAGCCCCGGACCCCCGGCGGGGCCGGGCCCCGTCACTCACTTTCCCTCCTGGCAGTCGTAGAGCACGATGGAGTCGTCGTCGCTGCTGGAGATGACGGTCTCGCCGTTGGGGCTGAAGTCGAAGCAGTTGATCTTGTCGGAATTCTCGCGGAACACCTTGGCCACGCGGAAGCTCCGCAGCACGTTGTCCGTCAGCTTCATCGCGCTGAGGGCGGCGGCGCTCAGGGGGAGCCGGGCGGGGCCGGGCCGGGCCAGGCCAGGCCGGGCCGGGCCGGGCCCGGCGGTGTTACGATGAGGAGATACGGGCCGGTTCGAGCCTTACCGGGCCGAGCCGGGCCAGGCAGAGCCCTGAGGTTTTATTATGCCGTGCTGGGCCGGGCCAGGCCGGGCCGGGCCGCTTCAGGCGGCGGCGAGGCGGCTCCCCCTCATTGTGTCCGCCATCTTGCTGCAACGCCTGAGGGAGGGGCGGCGCGCGGGGCACCCTGGGGGAGAACGGCGGGGCGCGCGCACAGCCCGCTGGGAATGAGAAGGTCACCGGGGGGGGGCCCGGCGGCCATCTTGAGAGTGGCGGGCGGGACGCGGCTGGCGGGCACTGGGGGCTCCCTCACGGCTCCCTCACGGCCCCTCCTGGTTTGTGGGGGAAATTAGCGGAGAAATGGGGTTTTGGGGGGTTAAAAAAAGCGCAGTGGTTGCCCTCCGGGGGGTTCTGCACTAAGGGGTCGGGGTTGGTGCGGGCTGTGGTGTGTGCCTGTGGGGGGGGGGTGCCTCCTGGATCTCCGAGAGCAGTTTGTCCTCTTTAAACCCGTCGTTGAAAATGTGATGGATTTCTCTTTTAAAATTTTATCTTCGGTTTTATTATTGCACTTTTTTATTGCTCAGTATATTTAATTCTGCGACAAACTGGCCTTCGCAGCAATACAAGTGCCGTAGCACCACAGGCTCATGAGTGGCAAACACAACCTCTAAGGCAGACAGCCTGGGGTGTGAGGTAGGTGTCCTGGTACAGGTACCTTGGGGTTGTCATTTATCCATCACAGATGTTGCCACCAGCTTCTGTTCGTGTTTTTATACTTCTAACGCCTCAAAGAGTTATTCCTGGGGTGAGAAGATAGAGGTGAGAAGAGCGGTGAGAATCTCCAACCACCACGAAGATTTCCAGCACCCGGGTATTTTAGAAGAAAACCAGGTCTTTTGTTGTGTCAGTCCCCAGGAAACTTAGACTCAAACCAAAACAAACAAACGAACAAAAAGAACAAACAACAAGAGCAAAACAAAACAAAACAAACAAACAAACAAAAACAAAACAAACAAACAACAAAAAAAACACCACTAAAGCCCCAATCACTTCATAAATGTCAACTGCATTTTCCTTCCGTAGTCTCCAGAACGGTTTGCTTCAGAATAAGATTGCCCTCTTGTGGACAAACAACAGTAAGTCTGGGAGCTGTTGTCAGAGGGCTGTTCACATGTCAGACACGTTCAGTTATTTTACGTGCATGTGTGATTTAGTCAGTGAAATGAAAGTCTTCTCTGAGATAACTTGCTCTTACCACTTGTTTCCTACGGCTCACCGTTACAGGTTTTGACATCTAGCCTGGTTCACCCCTTCATATTGTGATCTGATCGGCCTGTCAGAATGATTCACTGAGCTTTACTCTGGAATGGACGCGAGATTTTAACACTGGAGCTTAGGGAGACCCAACAGAAGACACATTCATTACTTCAGAGGGTCTCGGGGTCAGCTACTCCATTACAGGTCAGTTTGAAACCTACAATCGATTTTAATGTAATGAAAGATTTCAGAGAAGTTCAGAACAGCATGCCTCTTGCACACTGTAAACTGCATGATGAAAGCCTGGATTATCTCATGTGGGCCCAGAAGATGACTCACCAATACCATCATAAGACAATTTACTTCAAAACACCTACAATACTTAGCCAAGTTTTAGAGTTGTATAACACCGTGGGTTGTTGATTTGATATTTTGTCACTCCCTTTTTATTCTTTCTTCTGCCTTTCTTCCCAATCATTGGAGCTTAGTTTGTCAGTTTATACGAAGCTGGAATTTATCTGGCAGGATAATTGGATCTCCTAGCAAAATGTCACATTAGGTAGGAAGTATGGATGATGCCCTTGCAAAACTAGTTAATAGAAAAAAGGCTTAATTGCTGCTTGAGTAATATTGATCAAATGCAGTCATTCTACCTATGCATTTCTATATTAGGTACCACTGTAACCTGCACAATACAAACAGTCCCACGCTCACATTTGCTCAGATGGGTGGATGTTAATTTCCTAGAGATGTTTCTGGAAACAATGCTACTCAGGTGAATAAATTTTTGTTGGACTCTGCTGGGAGCGATGATCCTCAGTGGGTGACAGTTATGACTGAAGGCCTGTGCAGAGAACTTGTGTCCCACAATTTGGCATCTCTTTATGGGCTCTTGAAGCTAAACGTGATGCTCTGGAGTCCCTGCGGTTATCTCTGAGATTAACTTCTGAGATTATCTTCTGAGATTGTGTATAATCTCAGAAGTGGTGGTGGAAGGGACCTCTGGAGCTGCCTGCTCTACCCTCCGGCTCAGTGCCAGACAATCACCAACACAAGGCTAGCTTGACCATGGCTTTGTCCAGCCAAATCCTGAAAGACTTCTAGCTCAGAGACCACAGCTTCTCTGGGCAGCCTGATCCAGAGCTGTGCTATGGTCACTGTAAAGAACATTTTGCTCACATCCAGCGTGAACATCCTGAGTCACAAATTGTGGCCATTTAATACATTCTGCCACTACCAAGAAGGTTTCATCTCCGTTGTCTTCATAACTACCTTTCAGGTAGTTGTAGCTGCTGGCAGATTGCTTCTAAGTTGGTTCTCAGCCTGCCCTGATACACAGAGATCCTGCCTCAGCAGCAAAACCTCGTACTTCTTGCTGAGTGTTGTGAGGTTTCTGTTGGCCCTAACCTAAAGTTTATCATCATGGTGCCTCTGGAAGGTGTTTCTACTATTCAGTATGTCAGCGCTTTCCCTAAATTAAGTCAGCCACAAAGTTACTGAAGAAGCACTCTTTGGTAACTGTGCCTCCAGCTAATTAATTGTAGTTTTATATATACAAAATACATATATACACATATATAATATATAGAATATATAATTAGTTCTAATTACTAAATACTTAGTGCCCTCAGGTTACTAATAAAGCAATGGGACGACACAAATCCCAACAGAGACCCAGGTCTTCCCTGTTCATTACCGGCTGTCATCTGGACAGAGAATCACTGATGGCTGCGCTCCGAGCCCAGTGGCTGAGCTATTTTTCAGCCAGCATAACAGGGCGTTTACCCAGCCCAAACTTCTTCAGCTTGCTAATGAGTGTGGTGTCAAAAGTCTCACTGAAGTCAAGGTAGATCACATCTGCTGCTTTCCACTTTCCCCACAGCCTGTCGTCTCAGCCTAGAGGGCAGCTGTAATTGTCATCCTGACTGATTAATATTCCTGGCTCTCTCTCCTCATGTTACTTCCACCTAAGGAGCTCATATTTTTTTTTGCTGTTAGTCCCAAAGACTGTGACCTTTTATTTACTGAATTTTGACCCTTTTCATCCATTTCAGTCCTCAAGGCAGGCAACTTTTTTCCTTCTCTAGAATACTATGATCCTTCCCCAGGTTTTAAATGACTCTCAACTGTGATTGCGAGTTGACTCAGAATAGGGAGTTTGAGAAATTGCAGCATGAAAGGAAGTAGACTTGGCATGGACTTGGCTTCAGGGTAGGACCGTTCTGCATTGAGCTACAGAAGGATTTTTTTAGTGAAAAATTTTTCTTCCGTACAATCCCCAGTGCAAGGGAGAAACATTTCCAAAAGGTATGTAGGGAGTGAAGGGAGTGTGACCTAGAAAAACTAGTAAGATGCATATGTCAAATACAGTTAATTTTTTTACTAATGATACTGATCTATATATATAAAATGCTGAACAGAACACTTACTTCTCTGTGTTTGGCCTTAGGCTACATTCCTCATCAAAGGCAAAGAAACCCTGTTGACACTTCTCGTGGTGAGTAAATCAGTCATAAGAGCACCAGATTTCTTTTCCAAGAAACATACAGAAAAATGTATATTGGAAATTAGGACTCCTGGGTTTTTCCCCAGAGCTCAGCATATTCTTGAAACAAAGGTGCTCAGACTCCTTACTTTCTCCCCTGCCTGCCTAGCAAACTTTCTGTGCAGCTGGTCTCATGGCACTTCTTTTGTCCACCATCTTCCTCTTTCCCAGTGAACCCTGAAGGAGCACCATGGTGATTAGGGGCAAGGTGACTAAGGACTCTGCACCCCATCCCTGCACACCTACTTGTGTGCTGGACTCTTTGTAGCAGACCGGTGAGCAGCTGGTCCATCCTAGACACGTTCTCTTTTATAAAGTGGGAATGAGGCAGCACGGTAATTTTATGCAAATCCATGTGCAGATTAAAAAATTAATCAAATTCTGAAATTTTCATTTAAAGAGATTAGTCTTGAAAAATCCGCCATCTAATCCTCCCCAAATAGTCACTTGGAACAAACCTTCACTGCTTTGTTTTCCTCCTGGGTTCAGTGCATCTCCTAGAAAATTTTCTTGTGATGCTTTCGGGACCATCTGGAACAGCAAGTTTGAGTTGGAGCAGGGCTCAGCAGGCAAATTAAATTTGATATATCAAATGATAGAGAAGATGTGTCAGTAAGTGGGGACATGGGAGTTGAGCGCAGTAAAGTCTGTGAACGCAGTACGCTGTGCTGTACTTCATAGGTAAACTCCCACGGCAGTGCATGAAGAATGGAAGCAGTAAGCCTCGGTGAGTCTAACGGTAATTTACATACCAAGAGGCCAGAAGAAAGTCATGTAGCAAGTAAAACGAGTAGCGAGAGACACCGTTAAAACTTGCTGTATCTGGAAGTTTACTACAGTAACAAAGATGTAATCTGTCTTTTACAGCTTGAGCTCAAAATTATCCTCGAACAATTGGGGTTTGATCTAGTGCCATCTCAGATTTTTTTCCAATCCCCTCAGGGCTTTTGGAGTCAGCTCGGTACGCCATGGGCCAACCACCAATCATTGCCACTCCAAAGGAAAACCATAGAAGTCCTGATGACATTAGAAATAAACTGCCTTAGAACACTGAAGATCTCAATTAAATCATATGTCCCAGAGCGTTCATAGACGGCATCCTCACATCTTGCAGCACGTGAAACTGGGGCTGTGTGGCTGAATCAGCCTGCAGCAAGCCCAATTGCCCCAGCTTTAAGAAAACCCCAAGCCTGTGCCGCAAACCCTTGAACAAACCTCTGACCATAGCACCCAGAATAATTCAGCTCTGCTCAGTGATGGCAGACTAGTCCCTAGAAGGGAATATTTTCCCACCTTTCAAATACCTGCCATGCAGTCTGGCACTGGCTCATTTTTCTCACTGCATAGGCAGCTCGTTTGTGAACTCTTTTCCTCCCCAGTGTGAGTCCAAGCTTATGGCTTCGACTGTTCCCCTCTGTGCCCATGCTTTTGGTCTCATGCCACCATCCAATTTATCTGGCAGCTTGCCACGTGTCTGCCCCTGGTGCTGGATTGTTTCTGTCTCCTTCTGACTTTGGCTCCTAGCCTGCAGAATTGCTTTAATTAAAAAGTTAATGAAAGGTAATGCAAACGCGTGTATTGCCTGTATTTTATCACGGTGCAGCTCTTCTCCCAGAGACGGTGAAAATGAGGAGCTTGGGTTTTGCTGCTTTTTGTGGTAAGAGTTACCAGTGGAAGTTTCTACAGCCTTAGGAGGAGTCCTATGAAGAAAATGCTTATAGTGGTGGTGCGTGCAAACAAGTATGTTGATGGTGAACATTATTCACCAATGAAAGCTGAGGAAGTTTTCATTTAGAGGGGATTGATCTAAGCCCCTTCCAGTCTGCCAGCTCTCTTTGTAACAGGTAATTCTCAACATCATTTTCCTCCTAAGATTAGTGCAATCTTGTGGAAAACTTTCTAAAAGCCTTTCTAAATATACCGTAATGCCAAAAATGTCCCGTGCAGGGACAAAGAGAAGGTGAAACCTCAGCCCCACTAGTGCCCATAGCATGAGTGTATGTACAGAGAGAAGAGGGATAGTGCATCCCCATGTGATTTCCCTGAGAAACTGGGAAATTGAGGTTACTACATGAAGCAACGTAGGTCATATCATAAGCCCCCTTTTCCAGCCCAGATTCCTCCTAGCCAGCAGTGGGAAGGGGAGTAGTAGCAGTAACTGGCAGTTACACCATTTCCATATCCTCCATCCATGGAGGTAATCTGAGAGCTTCCATTTTGATTATTTTTCTTTCCTATGCTGTCTCTCCCTGGGTGTGGGGTGATACTCAGTTCTCTTGATCTTGTTAAAAAAAGCCCTGGTAAAATGAGTAGGAGTTTTTATTTTTTTAATATCTACACTGGATTTCATAGCTCTGATTTATAGCTGTTCCCTGATGACATTTAGTACCTGGTGCCTGAGACTGTATAAATAAATTACATAAAAATGGATTCGTGACATCATTAGTAGCACCCCCATTCCAAGGGGAGCCTCCAGTGAGCCTGCGTGTCTAATCAGAGCTGACAGGGAGCAGAATTACACACGGAGACCTCCAAAGCTGATGGGTCTGTGCCAAATTCAGCTCTCCATTGTATTGGTGTAGTTGGATAACCCCTGAATGCAAGGAGATTTGCACCAGATTTATTCTGCTTTTACACCTGTGCTCTGAGGTCGGTATCAGAGATGGGGTGCCTTAAAATCTTCAGAAGCAGTGGAAAGACATGCACTGACTTAGACAGACTCTGGATGAGACCTTGATGGTTAAATTATAATCTGAGTTCAGAGTGCAGAAAACAGATTACATGCCTGCTATTGTAGTGAAATGCTTTCCAGACCAGAGCAAGCATTAGCAGTGTGCACACAAGTGCTAGATGAATTAAGCTGGCATTTATTTTTTCATCTCCAGTAGGAGAGGATTGCTTTTAAACGACTCACGCCTGCTGTGTCATGTCTGGAGTTGGAGCTGAGAGGAGCCGCCGGGAGGGTGCATGTGACAGGATCCGCAGTTGCAGGTCTGGTTGTACTCAATTCCCCTGGTCTTCAGGGTCAGCCATGCACAGAAACATCAAGGCAGAGACAGAGCCTGTTAAAAGCGTTGGGGTTTTATTTTCTTAAACTTGCCTGGCTCTATTTAGACCTTTTTTTTTCCCAGCCTTCTCTGTAAACCCTGTATCACAACTCGGACGAGGCGACCTGGAGCATGATGCACCTCTTGTTTTGTAACACCTTTCTCTGATTGCACTATGCTGCCAGGTGAATTAGAGACCTGCTGGGAAAGGAGATGCCAATCTCGGTTCCTGAGAGGTGCATGGTTCACTTCACTGGTATTAGCACGGTTACTCAGGCCCTCATTGTGAGATGGCTGAGGCTCAATGGTTTAAACTGCTTACAGCACCAGCTGCCATGAGATTTAGGAACCTAGTAACAAAGTGGTCAGTACACCTTCTCCTTCCCATCTCTTCTCATGATTGAAGAGACGGTCTGGAGCAGTATCTAAGGGGAGCTTAGATAGGTAGCTTATCTGCCCTGGGTTTTGCCTTTAAAATACGTTTCTCCTAAGCACTGAATCTTTTTTCTTTTTTCTCCAGCAAACCTATGACTCACCATACTATGGTTTTGTCTGTGAGTCCTTTGTCCAAGGGATTTCAGAGCGTGCCCAAGTTTCATTGCCTGAGAAGGTGCTTGGGTGGAGTTTTTCACCGAGCCTTTGGGTCTGTCCTCTGTCTTTGCAGCAAAGGCTGGTTTAGACCCACAGGAGCTGTTGGAAAGCTTGTTGGCTTAATGATTAACACCTGTCAGTGCTAGGGGAGCAGTAGGACAAAGGGACCTCTGAACTTGTGTGTTCCTGCAGAAGAGGAGCCAGACACTGGCCTTGTACTGAAACATATCCTTTTAGTAGAAATAGAATTAACTGGCAGGTAATTTGAATGGTTCTGTGATTAAGTGTGTTGCCAGGGCTGCCTCAGCTTCCTGGCACCCTTCCCTAATTGCCTGCACCATAATTACCATGAGCTAGAGAGATGCAGATGACAAGGGTCTTTGGTTCTGGGAAACCAGCAACAAACTTGCTGCCAGTTAATGGAGGGAAGAAGTGCTGTGAGGGAACAGACACGTGCATGCAGGCAGGAGCTGCCTTTCCTCTGTCTGGGTGACTGTTTGCCCTTGAGCAGCTGAGATTCTTCAGTCCATGCTCATATCTGCTGCGTGGAATTCTAATACTTAGTGGAGACTACCTCAAACGGAATTTCAGAGACCCAGCTGGGAACTTTGCCTGGATCCAAAGTCCTACCTGATCTCGAAATATGACTTTAATGCATAATGAGAGGACTGAAAAATAAAGGAGAATGGAGCCCTGTGTTAATTTGCTGTTTGGTGGGGAAACCTCATCACTGGTCTTTCTGTGGCCACCAGCAGCAAGGGATCAGGCAGCCAACAAGCACGTTGGTTTTGATTCTCCAAAGTCTGTACGTGGTACTGGGGGGGAAAATGGGGCAATGCACAGCCACAGAATGAGGTCAGCATTTGGCTAGCACATGGAAGGGAGTTTATGTAGTGAAAAGCTGTTCCACTCGGATGCCCTGCTCTCTCCGGGACAGAGAGCAGCCTCCATGGTTTGGAAAAGTGTCAAACAGTGAGCACATCGAAATGATGGCTTGCCAGTGGCAAATTAACAATGACAGAGAAGCTGTCTGGCAGGGCTCACCTTCCCTTTGGGAGGCGATGAGATTGCAGGGGAACCACAAGCTGACAGGTAGCTTGAATGTGACCCTGTCCTCTCCCTCCTGCCTGGGGAGAGGTTGGAAAAATGCAGCTGATTGAGCACTGTAATCTTAGGAGTAAACAGGAGCTAGCATTCCACGGGCCACGATTTGGCTTCCTTGCTCTCCCTGTAACCACCCTGTCTATTTTCCTAGTGAACAGTGTGAACAAAATGCTTTCCCTTGCAGGCTGGAAGGTGCTGTCTGCCGGAGCTCCTGAGGCCTCGTCAGTAAAGTGTGTGCAAGCCCACCCTGCCCAGGCAGCATGTCCCTTCATGAGCACGTGCTGTCCCTCTTCCGCAGTGCAGTGGGCACTGTCCGGCCGGCCCCAATGCTGAAGAGGGCTGTGAAACTGCAGGGAGACGGGTGCCCACAGCTGATAGTGAAGGGCCGGGCCTTTCCCGTGAAGAGGAACCTGTACCTGGTGGGGTTTGGCAAGGCTGTGCTGGGGATGGCAGCAGCTGCAGAAGAGATCCTGGGGGACCACCTCATTCGGGGGATCGTCAGTGTGCCACTAGGCATCCAGGAGAGCCTGCAGCGAGCGGGAATGCAGTAAGGGAGCCTGTGACTGGGCGCTTTGGGTGGGGATAAACTGCCAAATTTGTCCTCTGGGGGATGTTGCTGTGAACCCTCTGAATCCTTTCCATCTGCCCTTGCTCTGTTGCCCACCCTGTCCACCACACCCTGACCTTCAACCTCCATTGCTCCATCACGTCCCAGTGGCACCAGTGACAATCTTTTGCGTTGACTGCGCTGCCTCCCCAGCCTTGGGAAGAGATGCACAGCAAAAGCCACCTCCCTGTCCTGGTCACTTGCCGTTTCCCTCTGGTGCAGCCAGCTGACAGCCTGGCTGCCTGCGTAGGTGCTGGTGTCAGTGGTGTGATTGCCTTCCTTACCCCTCCAGGGAGATGCTGCTGAAGCCGCACAGCAGAATCCAGGTCATCGAAGGCGCAAGGAACAACCTCCCTGACCCCGAGGCTCTGAGGGGAGCAGGTGCCATTCAGGAGCTGGCTCAGGGCCTGACAGCAGACGACCTGCTCCTCGTGCTCATCTCAGGTGGGGATCTCAGGGCATGGGCCCTGCTGAAGGCCCCTGTTGCTGCTGTAGTCCCTCCAGATGCGTGCCCGCATGTGGCTGTGCAGCACTGCTGTGCTGTGCCGGCCTTCGCAGTGATTTTTTCTCTCCCTTATCCCACAAACTTTCCTCCAGGAATGCAGCAGGGGAGAGCAGGGGGCTGCCAGCTGCTGCAGAGGACGGGCTGCCTCCCAGCACTGTGGGGAGGCTGAGCTGTGCAGGCTGGGCCCACTGCTGTGAGACGGTGGCACACAGCTTGTCAGCTGCCCTCACCTTTTGGCGAGGGTGGCACCTTCTTCCTGCCCCCTCCTTACAGCTGCAGGTGCAGGCTTGGGAGAATCGGTGCTTGGCTGATTCACAAGCTCTGAATCTGTGTGGGGATGTGAGTCTGGAAGCTGAAGTTCAGGACTAGCCTCGGGAAGCACATTTCCACAGCCTGAGCTCAGCTGGGTGAATCAGGGCAAAAGCAAGCAGGGGGTTGGAGCAGCTCTGTTGAAACCCCCTGGTCTCTGCTTGGTAATTTTCTCTATTTGCTTTGTGAATGCTGGAGCATGATCCAGCGCAGGGAGCGCAGTGCTGCTAGGCAGACACCCAAGTGGCTGGCAGCTAGCTGTGCTTGCTGGGGATTCCCTTGGGTTTCCTCCTGTCCTCTGGCTACCAGCATCTCCGAGAGACTCCTCAGCCCTTCAGGGAGCCTGCACAGGATCTACCCGCGGCTGCAGCTCCCCGTGCACGTGCACTCCCACACAGCAGCCGGTCCCCAACTGCTCCTGCCTCTCAGCTAGATCCCTGGCTATTGACTGAAACACAGGCATTTGCATTTGTTTTTCTTGCTCATCATGTTTTATTGATGCTGATTTGTCTCAAACCTCTGAGCAGGTTTTGCCTTTTGACGGTAGCTTTTGGTTGTACTTTTATGCATGTTCACTCTCTGTTCAGATCTTGCTCTTTTCTGTTCTGTATCTTCCATCCATTTCACTTCTCCATTCTAGTCTTTTTTCTTGCCCTCTTTTCTGCATTTCCAATGCCCACGTGTATCAGTTGCACTGTCAGAAATCCCATCGATAAGACTGTCACCCTGGGTGTGCTTTCTCTTGTTATTCTCTCCCCCTTTTCTTTCCTCCCAGGCCTAGCTGAGTGCAGTTTCAGGGATAGTTTCTTATCTTGCTGCAGCCATAGCTGGTGTTTTTATGTACTGTCTTGAATAAATGGAACCAGCAAAGCAGGCAGTGTGTCCGCGTGCTTAATGTTGAGCACCGTGTGAGTCCTGAAGCCTGTGGTCCCCACTCACCCATCCAAGGAGCCCTTAAAAATCAGCGTGGCAACACGTTAGTAGTCTGCTGTAGGGGGGATAGTAATTACTGGCCCTTCTCTGCATTCCCCACCACGTGGAAAGGCTGCTCCTGCTCAGGTGTTGGGCAGCCCAGCTTTCCTCGTGTCCTGATGGAAAACGTGCTCAATCCCTGCCATCTCGTCTGCATTCTAGGGGGTGGTTCAGCCCTGCTGCCTGCTCCCATCCCTCCCATCCTCCTCGAAGAGAAAGAGAAACTGACAAAGATGCTGGCTTCCAGAGGAGCTGCCATACAGGAGCTGAACATTGTCCGGAAGACTCTGTCCTTGCTGAAGGGTGGAGGGCTGGCCCGGCTCGCATATCCCGCACAGGTAACGGGGGCAAGCCTCTGCTTGTGCAGAGATCACCCGTGCGCCTTCAAACAGTGGGTTAATCAAGTCCCAGGGCTTTTTTCCTCACTGAGTGAACAATGCATGTGTGGTGTTTTGGAGCTGTGCCTCAGATTTCACTGAGGATCCCAACTCTCAGGGTGACAGGTGCAAGAAGGGGGACTCAGACCTGGCCATCACATCACACCACTCAGCAGTCCCTAGTCCTCCCCCAGCAGCAGTTTATGATGTGCTGGTGCATTGCTGTGCTGTCTCCCACAGCGCTTCCAGGCCAGCTCTGACCCTTAGCTCACCCAGGGGCTGTTTTCAGTGTGTTCCATCACTGGCACGTAGGCTCAGCCTGTACTAGGTTCTCAGCCTAAGAGCTGGCTGTTTTCTATCATGATGGTCCAGCATCAAAAGACACTGTAGGTCTTTGGGTTCAAGGAGGGCAAGGTGACTCTCACGGGACTCTAAAACAAAAATGGGCCAAGATCTGCCTTAGCACAAGTGTAACTCAGAGCAGTGCTTACGCCATGACTCTGGCATGGTCACCTGCCTCTGCCTTCCACAATAACCCTCTGCCATTGCTCCTGGTAGGTGGTGAGCCTCATCCTTTCCGACGTGATCGGCGACCCTCTGGACATCATAGCGAGTGGGCCCACCGCTGCCAGCTCCCACAGCGTCCAAGACTGCCTTCAGGTCCTGGCCAAATACAACCTGCTGCAGAGCCTGCCCGAGTCAGTGGAAACGGTGCTCTCCAGCTCTCCCACCAAGCGCGCTGCTCCAGAAGACTACTCCCACGTTTGCAACGTCATCATCGGATCAAACGCGCTGGCTTTGGACGAGGCCAAACGCCAGGCTGAGGGCCTGGGCTACGTGGCCCTGATTCTGAGCGCAGCAGTCTGCGGGGACATCGGCCACGTTGCTGCTCTGTACTGCCAGCTGATCCGGCTGCTCTGCCTGGGCTTTGCTGGCCTCGGAGAAGGGCCTCTGGGCAACGAGGTGAGGGGGAACCTTCTGCAGCTGGCAGCAGAGTTAGATATCCCAGGCTTGAACCTGGCTGAGTTTCTGGAGGCCCTCCGAGGATTAGGGCCTGAAAAGCCAGTCTGCATCCTTGCTGGCGGAGAAACCACGGTTCGGCTTCGAGGAACCGGGAAGGGAGGAAGGAACCAGGAGCTGGCCCTGCGAGTGGGGCTGGGGCTGCACAGGGCACAGGGCGCTGAGGCCAGCAGCCCCCTGGGGAGGTGCGAGATCATCTTCCTCAGCGGGGGGACGGACGGGCAGGACGGGCCAACAGGAGCAGCAGGGGCCTTCTGCAGTCCGGAGCTGGTGGACGAGGCGTTCCAGGAAGGCCTCGATGCGGAGGCTTTCCTCAACAACAACGACTCCTATACCTTCTTCAGCCACTTCCAACGTGGGCGTCACCTCCTGGTGACAGGCTTGACAGGCACCAATGTCATGGATATCCAGGCTGTTTTAATTAGACCCAAGGATAGATCATGAAAGCTCCCTCTGCCGATATTCAGATGCGTTTAATTAGGACCAGGGGTAAACGAGGCAATAAGCACTGCAGACAAAACTACTTAAATTAGGGCTAGCTGTCAAGTGTGCTAATATCTTTGGTAGAAAGATTCCACTAATTAATCACGAGTGGATGTCCACAGCAAATGCACTGGGAACAGTCAAGCACTTGTAATTGGGATCTGAGAAAGGCAAGCAGTCACGCTGTGGACATGGAGGTTGCAGTTAGCACTTCTGCTGAGAGCCACTGCTACCGTGACAGCTTCACAGAACAGAATAGAATGGCCTGGGTTGAAAAGGACCCTAAAGATCCTCTAGTTTCAACCCCCCTGCCCCATGCAGGGTTGCCAACCACCAGAGCAGGCTGCCCAGAGCCTCATCCAGCCTGGCCCTGAGTGCCTCCAGGGATGGGGCATCCACAACCTCTCTGGGCAACCTGTGCCAGTGCCTCAACGCCCTCTGAGTGCTGAGTGAAAAACTTCCTCCTAAGATATTAAGTTAGATATAACCTAAATCTCTTGTCTTAGTTTAAAACCATTCCCCCTCGTCCTGTCAGTATCAACACATGCAAACAGGCGTTCCCCCTCCTGTTCATATGTTTCAAGTACTGGAAGGCCACAATGAGGTCTTCCCAGAGCCTTCTCCAAGCTAAACAAGCCCAGTTCCCTCAACCTTTCTGTACAGGAGAGGTGCTCCAGCCCCCTGATCATCTTAGTGACACTCCTCTGGACCTGTGCACTTGGCCTTGTTGAACCTCGTTAGGTTCTCATGGGCCCACTTCTCCAACCTGTCCAGGTCCCTTTGGGTGGCATCCCTTCCCTCTTGTATCAACTGCACCACTCAGCTTGGTGTCATCTGCAAACTCGCTGAGGGTGCACTCGACTCCGTCGTCTATGTCACTGATCAAGATGTTGAAGAGCACCGGTCCTAAGACTGGCCCCTGAGGGACACCACTTGTGTTTTTTTGTTTGTTTCTGTTGTTGTTCTGGAATACAAAATTTATTTAAAGCTTATAAATGACTTCAATTCTGCAAATTCTGTTTCAAAACACAAACTATACACAGATATTTTCCATAACATTTGGGATAAAGATCGTTGATATCAGATCTCCCCAGATACACCATTTCAGCTGAGAAGCATCAAGCGATCACACACAGATTTTTACCCTCTCCTCCAAAATACAACAGGCTCACATCTGCCTTGCTGTGTATTAATGCATTAATGCAACCCCAACATTTAGTGCAGGGTGAAAGGGCCAGAAATAGAACCAGCAATTAAACCATCAGCTCTCTTCCCAGCCCAACATTGTTCTCTGCACACGTGCCAACTGCTGGGCTGTGCTACTATTGCCTGCAAGTGTCACGAAAAGCTCCAAGTGTTTGGAAATCCCTCCACACGGGCAGCAGGCCATCCTGCAGGAACTTCCTGCAGCGCTGGCACGGAGCCTGGAACAGCTTTATGTAACTTCTTAACCAGGTCATGTAAGACCTGACCACCACACCGGGCATCCAAAGCAGCTGGTAGGGCAACAGAGCAGTGGTTGCATGATCCATCACTTTCTGAAAAACCTGATTGCTCACCCAGGTTGTGGCTGAGGGAGCGCAGGCTGTCCTGGAAGGCGGCCACAAAGCCCTTCTCGCATCCCTCCAGCATCTCCTTGTTCCACACGCCAACCTTCAGGCAGTCAAAGACCCTTTTCATGCTGGAGCACAGCGCCTGGATGGTGGCAATGGCCTGGGAGGCCTCTAGGTTCACCCTGGGGCTCAGCACCCCATGTGCCATCTTATCCTGGACCCAGCTGGCCTCCCTCCACTCCACAGCATGGCGAGGTTGTGGTTAAAAGACACGAAGAAAGCAAGACCATGGCTTGGCTGCTGGGGAGAGCTCCCACTGTGGCTTTTGCAACCCCCGCTGATCCCAGGAGAGCTTCCATGCCAGCGGTGTGCGTGTTAAGAGCTTTCATGGCGATGTTTTCCAACCGGCCGGAAAACAGTCACGCATCCAGCCCGAGCCAGTGACCTTTCTTCTGTGCTGAGGCAGAAGTCGCTGTCACTCTGATTAACTCTGCTAATTCTGCAGAACAAAAGGCAAGGAAACCTTCACACTCGGCTCTCCTGACCCATGCTGCTGAGCTGATCAAAGGGCAGAGCTGCCGGAGCCTTGCTTTGACGGGGAGCTGCTCCGCCACGCACAGGAGAACGCCGTGGTTATCACAGAGCAGAGATGAGATGGCTTTCCCAGGACACGGAGCCCATGGTAGAGCTGAATTTTAGAAGGGCTCTGCCTGTAGCAACAGGCATGGCGATGGTTTTGGCTCGCTATTCAAAGGACTTCAGCTCAGCAGCCAGTCTGACCCAACACGTTCAAGTCCTTTTGAAAAACCTGCCTATTTGTCACAGAGCCGAAGTGGAAGCTGAGCTCCTTTGAAAATCCAGCCCTAATTTAATAGGACACGCTTGACTCAGACTCTTCCCAGACAGACAAGCCTACTGCATGTGGCTGATCTAATCTCGTGCCATAAATACACCGTCCTGCCAGCGCTGCGAGTAGTGGTGTCATTGAGCAGCTGCTACACAGCAGCACTGAGCCGCTCCGAGATGGATTGGAGGGTGGGTTTCTGAGCAGGATGCAACACCTCCTGCTTTGTTTTTGTTTTTGTTTTTTTTTTAAGCCAGTATCTCACAAGTAAGGGTTTCAGCAGGGCTGCCGTGGGAGCCAGCCCCTTCCCCTCGGTATCAGTGCCAGGCTGGCTGCTGGACTGACAGGACCACAGCCAGAGCCAGGATCAGTCCGTGCTCACAGCCCAGGGGAAGCGCCACGGCACAAGCCTGGAGATTTCAAACCCAAGTCATTCCCCTGGCGTTGAAACACATCCCCACATTGTGCTCTGAGCCTGAAGGCCTCCTGCAACATGCCTGAACTCGCTGGTGCTGGCAGACGGCTTTGAGGTCTGCTGGAAGAGACCTGCACTGCCATAACGCTGGGTGATGATGGCAGGGGAGAAGCTGCTCCGTGCTGTCAATTTTCTCCAGAGGTTGCCCGTGGGCTTCAGATCATTTGGCTTTTGCTGCGTGCCCAGCGTGCCAGCACCGCAGGGGCACCGAAACGAGTAGCTTTACAGCCAAAAAGGGATCTGGGGCCAGATGCTGCTGCGGTGCAGTCCCGAGTGGCTCCAGCTCCAGCTCTTCCCAGCACAGAAGTGCCCCAGGCCTGGTGTGCCAGCTTGGGGACACCTCCACGGACCCAATGTGCCCCTGTGCTCTGCCTGCAGCCTTCCACATCGCTGAGCACCGTGCTAGTCCTTGGAGCTGCTGCTTGTGCCGTGCTGCACTCGAGTTCAGAAGACCTTGGGTGAGCGCTTGCTGGCTTCTCCTGGGAAATGCCTGTGCTGGTAACGCCGCGCGTACCCCGAGCAGTGTCCTTGCTTTCTAAACAGTGGCTTTTCACTCACGATTAAAAGGAGTTTGCAGCGGTGGGGAGAGAAGGCTGATAAAAGGTTTGTTGAAAGGCTGGAACTGTTTGAAGTGCGTTTCACATCTACATTCGCTTGGCCTCCACACACGGTTTTATTCTCGTTCCTTCTCTTCTAATGAGGAGGTAACAGGACAGGGGGAGGTTGACCAAGGACACCCAGGTTACACAGACACCCTTCATCTTCTCATGTTTCTACCTGGAGACGCTGAAGCTTTTTTTCTGACTGATTGCTTGAGTGGGCCATATCCATCTGTCCAGGGAGGACGAAGCTCTGCAAGACGTGACTCTCTTCAGTGTGTGCATCCCTTACAGACAAGGCATCATTTTATTCCTCTAGAGGATGGTAAGCACAGAATTGCACATTAATGCTGCCACCCTGATCAGTATTTCCTTTGCTTTCAGAAGACCCCATGCACAAGGCAGCCTAAATTTGGGCTGCGCTGGTCAGGGGTTGCAAAGATTTGTTCATTAGCAGGTGCATCCGAGGATACAGAGCACCACTTACCTGCCAGGCACCGCTGTGTCTCTGGGTTGTTGCAGCCTGCCAGGAGCAGTGGCTTTGCAGGTGGGGACCTGGGGCTGTACCTGCCCTGGATGGGACACCGGCGTCACTTGAGCCTGCCTTGGGAAAGGAAGAAGCCAGGAGTGGGACTGTGGTTGCAGTGATTCCACCAGGAGAGCCGTGCTGGGGCCAACTCCTCGCCATCCTGGCTCCAGGGTGCAACGTGCCTAAGGAGACAAGTCACAGAGTGCAAGGACACCGCGAGCTGCTTGGTCGTGATGCTCCCAGTCCCTGCCCTTTTCACCTGAAAAAAAAAATCTCTTCTACGCCAGCCTCTGGGCCAACAGCTCCCTGCTCTCATCCCCGTGTGGGAGGCATGGGGACAGCTGTCAGAAAAAAAGCACGGGCAAGGGCGAGAGCAAAGCTGGGGCATACGTGTACAGGGTGGGCTTGCTCTCCAAAGTGGGCTGCTCGTAGCCAAACAGTGCTAATGGCCGGGAGAAGTAACTGTGTTATTAACAGCGCAAGCTTTTGGCAGTAAATTAAAAATCTTGGCTGCTGCCCTTGGCTCTGCTCTTGCCTCTTAGGAGACATTAATATCACAGCTCCCCAGCATTCCCATTATCACTTCATTAAGGATCCAATAATGATAAATGTGGATGGTTTTATTTTGCGCAGGGCCTGATTAATGGCTAATATTTCACTAGGTGTTAATGGGGCCCTTCCTTTATGAAGTGATCGGAAGGGGTCTGCCTTTAATCTCCTCCACAAGCTGGGTAATTTCCACTATTTTCGCTAATGTGACAGATTTAATGCAAACCTTTAAAGAGCAGTGGCGGCCTCTTGAGAAACTTTGAGGAGCGCTGCATTTGGGGCAGCCCTCACTGCTGCAGCCGTTCCCCAGCTTCTTCCTCCTCCTCCTCCTCCTTTCCCTCCACCTCCTGCATCCTCGGTGATGAAGCACAACCACGTCAGAAAGCCACTGGCAACCCCGGGAACCCCGGGTGCAGGATGGAGCTCAGGCTGGCTTCGGTGGCTCCTCCGAGGCTGTCTCCAAGGCGCACGGGCTGCTCTCCGCTGCAGGACCCCAGCGTATTGCACGGCTTCAATCCCTATATGAGGCAGGATGTATAATCACATAGGAATAAAAAGCCATACAAGACGGTGAGGTGCTCCACGCCGGCAGGGCTCCAGGCCGTTCCCTCTGCAGCTGGTGGCTGGGATCAACCCAGGGAGCCCCCCGGGCCCTGTCGCGGGGAGGCGGAGGAGCCCTGTGTTAAACAAAAGAGAGGTGGCATTTCGGTCAGGCAGGGGACAGCAGCTGGAGGGGGAGTCCTGCAGGGCACTGGTGCTTGCTCCCAGCTCTCCCAGCTAGCAGGGGCCCCATCCCTGCATGACTGCCCCCTTGGAGCTGGTTCAAGCATCACCGTTTTGTCCCAGAGCCTCACCATCCTGCGTCTGCTTGTACCACCACCATCCCCGGGCTTTTTCAGCTCCAAGCATCCCCCCAAATTGCAAACGCGCGGTGGGGAGAAGGGGTCTCACGTGCAACCAGCCCCCTCCAAGCAGAGCATCCCTGCCCATCCCTCTGCTGTCTCGCCGGGGAGAAGATGAGCGAGCAATTTCCAGTCCCACGGGCGGAGCGAGCCGTTCCAGGGAGCTGTCAGCGCCCGGCGCACGCTACTGTCAGAGCGCAAATCCCCTGGCAGCCCATTAGGAGCAGCTCCAGGCTGCCTGCAGGAGCTCTTGACAGGAGGCCAGACACCGGCGCGAACAAACACAGCTTCTCCACTAAGAAGGTGGACGTGGGTGGAATGAAACCAGGGATCACTTCCCCCGGTCGCGGCCGTTTGATGGATGCTGAAGGAGTGGCCGCTGCGGGCAGGACCAGAGCGAGCCCTGGGGGCACCGCGGTGCAGGCTCCCCGGGACCGTGGAAACCCATCCAGGCAAGGCTGGGGAGAAGCACTGAGGCCAAACGGGGGCAGCAGAAAGGATTTGCCTCTCCTTTCTTCCTGCCTCTTTTCTCACATCCCGGCATCGATTCGGGCAGCTGCAGGAGGGGAGAGCTGGGGCTAAAAGCACGGGGTGGCAGCAGAAGAGAGCGGGCGGCGAGCGCAGCCTTGTGCAAGGTGGCCCTGACGTACTGGGGAGGGCAAAGCTCCTTTTAGCCAGAAAAGCAAACGAACCCTCAGCTTCCCAAACCTCTTTTGCTTCTCCTGGCTGATGACACTGCCCTGGCACTGCTGTGCAAAGCACCGGGATGCATCAATAATCAAAAGCACCCCCAAAAACCTTCCTCCATCCCAGCGCTGGGGTCTGTCCCAAGGCCAGGAGCAACTCAGCGGGTCGGGTGCCGCAGCAGCCAGTCCAACCATGCACACGTGGTGGGTGCTGCTGGGCCCCTGCTCGCTGCTTCTACGCCTCCGAACAAAGTCAGCAAGGCAGGGGCTGTTGTGTGATGAATTGTAAGGAGAGATGCAGGCGTGAATCACCGTACCCAGGTTGGGTAAGAACACCGATGGTGCTGTGTTTGGGAGTAATTACTCTCCACGAGCATGTGAATCATTAGGTATAATTGCCCTAATAAATAAAAGTGAGATAACTTCAGTCTCTAGCCTGATCTGTAAGAGCAGCGCAAAGTTACTGTCAGGGCGAGCCTGATAAAAGAAAACCAGGAGGAGAGGGAAAACAGAAAGAGCTGAGCTTCCAAACCGGGTACACCATGAAACTGTCCTGTACCCACTGCAGCAGCACCAAACGGGGCCTGCCTGGTGCCCGGGGTCAGCAGCAGGGGATTTTCTGGCCCTGGATCAGGTTTGGCTGGGCCAGAGCCGTCCCACCAGTGTCAGCACCCACCGAGGTCTGGAGCTGGGGCACAACTTCTCCAGGCAGAAGTTTTCCCCACTGCAAAAACGCCATCGAATCGTAGAATCGCTCAGGTTGGAGAAGACCTCTAAGGTCACCTGGTCCAACCTTTAACCCAGTGCTGAAGTCCCCACTGCGCCGCACTCCTGGGTTCTGCACCTGCACGTTTCTGGAACACCTCCAGGGGTGGTGACAACTGAGTTAAAAAGGCCTGTATTTGGGGGTGGGAGCGGGGTTACTCAAACAAAACCGTTTCACTTCTCCCCTGGGGAACGCTGGAACGAAAAAGAAAAACCCTCCCCACTCTACGATGACATTTTGAAACGAAGCAGGAATTTTCTTCTCCACTTAAAATGTCATCACAGACTTTTGCTTAAAAAAAGAAGCCTTCTCAGAGTGACATTTTAAGGGGAAATGTTGACTTAAAACCAGAAAGAAACCCCCCCAAACCACGCAATGAAACATTTTAAGCTGCAATGAGCCTACTTGCAGGGAAATCAATATTTTTGCAGAAAAAAATAAAATAAAATATTTCAAGGAAATACAGATCCTTGGCGGATTGAATTTCCCATGGGACAAAACCAGCCTCGCTCTGCCCAGCCCTGAGGAAGCAACACTTCTCTGCGTTCAGCCCACAAGGAGAAGGAGCAGCAGCAGCATCTCCCTTCCCAGGCAAGCATTTTTTCCCCAAATTCCTGCCTGGCAGAGGGAGACAACCTGGTGCCCGCGTCTCACCGATCGCACAGATCCTGCCGTCATCAAGCAGGGTCTGGCTGCATCCCCAGCCCTGCCCAACCCAGCTCCAGCTCTGCCCAGAGATGCTCCAGGAGACCCAAATGGATCGAGCAGAGCCACGCCGTGCCGCCCCTTCTGCTGGGGGAGGCCCGGCCAGCAGCAATCCGTGCTTCGGCTCTCCCCGTGCCGCAGTTATCGCTGCCTGGCTCGTGGTTTTTTAATAACCTGTAAGATGAGAAGCCCGCCCTGGGGAGCGGAGGGATTATTGTCAAATATCACCTCCCATTTGCTGGGCTTCGAGGGGCTTTAGCCACGTAGAAAGGCGTGGGATTAGCCGGCAGCGGGGGGAGAGGGACCCAAATCGCCAGGCTGGGGCTGACTGGGGGGCGCAGCGAAAGCTCAGAGACAGCAAGGATCCTCCCAAGGAGAGTGCTGGGTGGAGAGGGCTGCAGAATCCTAATTAGATTTTCAAAATTAATGAATTGGCACCAAAACAAACAGAACAGAAAGAGCGGCTGGTGCAGCTCCTGCCGCCACCTCCTGGGACCAGGGGAGCGAGCACGAGGGGGCTCGGTAACACAGGGTGGTAACAGACGGGGACATGGGGACCCCAGGGGACACGAGCCACCCTGCCAGGGAGAGGAGTCCCACGGGCTGCACAGAAATGTAAGATCACAGCCACAATGGGGAGGACACGAAGCCTTCGGGACCCTGGCAGCCCCATGGTGCCCACCCAGGGGAGTGGGGACATTGCCTCCACCCAGTTTGCACCAGGACACCAATGAGGCCAGTTGCAGCGCCCATCCTGCTGGCTTGGACATCTAAAAGCCGCTAGCTGGAGACACGAGGCATCCTAATAACCTCTCACAGCAAACATCCGTGCCCCTGGCTGTATTTCACAGCTCCGGGGCAGCCAGCAGCCAGGCCAGCTGCAAGAGGGCACGAAGCATCTCCCGAGGGACCGCAGGGACAAGGCCAGGCTGGGCTCGAAACACAGCTCTGCCATCTCCCTATTCATCGGGGCCCCACATCCCACGGGGACGCCCTGCAATATTAATTAGTACTATTATTTATTAAATGCTGTTGGTCTCCCCGGGCCCCAGGGAGGGCAGGTGACTGACAGCTCTTTTCTTCTCTCTGGGGCTAAGGGCTGCTGAGGGGGAGGGCAAAGGCAGCTTTAGGGTGGATGGCTCATCCTCCTGAAGAGGCCAAGGCTCATGGAGGTGCTGGCTGGGCTGTTCCTGGCTCTCCTTGCTCAGCCCATCCTCAGCTGCTGTTTAAACAGGGCCCCAGACCCTGTTGGAAAAAGGTCCCGTCTGTGCCACCACCTGATGTCCGCGCTGGGAGCCTGGGGTGCTGGCAGCCCGCAGGACACCCTATGAACCTGGCACCGTGGCTCAGCGCCCTTCCAGATGTCCCCCCAGTGCCTTGGGAGCACCCCCTGATGTACCAGAGAGTCTGGTGGCTTGCACGACCCAGATGCAGCCCCATAGCTGGTAGGAGGCATCCCGAAGCACAAAAGCCCTGGTCTGGTAGGGACCATAGGGGGTGATGCCCTACTGAATCCCCTCTGAGCTCAGCATAATGCAGAAAATAAGCAGCGAGGGCATTTTTGCCCCAAAGCATGGGCTCCTTGAACCCATCTCACCTGCCTTTCCTGCAGCCTGGAGAGATGCACGGGGCTGATCCCTGCTCACTGAGACCCGCCTGCAGGACCCGACCCTGCAGCCTCCGTCCCAACCCTCCCCCGGCTGCTTTAACCTCCCAGAAACCCTCCTGGCAAGGCAGGAATCGCCGTGCGCTGTGTACAGCCACCAGAAGTTGATTAAGCCCTAATTAATTGCATTAAGGTCAGCCAATGTACTCTGCTAAGGAAGAAAGCCAATAATTAAACTCCACGTGGGGCATGCCTCTGCCATCAGCCCCGCGGACCGCAGGAACAGAGCCGGGCTCGGCAGGGGCACGGCCAGCGCCGCTCGCCGTCACGTGGCGGTGGGAACGGGGAAATAATTAAGTGCCACGCATAAAACTATCAGCGCTTCACCGGCCTCTTGACGAAACCCACCCTGCGGCCCCGCTGCTGCCAGCGGCCGAGCACCAAAGGGATGGACGGAGGACGCGCGGACGGACGGACAGAGGACGCAAGCAACGTGCAGGTGACGGCCACCCTGGGTTGTCCACCTTCCTGGAGGCCTCGAGCCCAGCAAAAGCTTTTTTTTTTTAAGGCTTTTCTTTGCTCCCAGCTGAAAAAAAAAATAAAGGCCAAAGTAATCTGCCTGCCTGTCCCTCTTTGTCTCAGGGATAATAGCAGCCAGTGCTGCGTGCAGCCCCCCAGGGCTTTGCAGATTGCAGCTCTCGGAGATGTGTGGACAAAACCAAGAGGTGCCGGAGCAGGATGGTGGAGACACCACAAGGTCACCGTGCCCTGCCCAGTTGTCCCCTCCCTCCGGTGCTGGACCAGGCGATGGGACCAGGCAGGAAATGGGGACCCAGTGGGTGCTGGGCCACGCAGCCAGGTCTGGGATTTCCAGCTCCAGGGCCTGACCCTCGGCTGAGGGCAGAGCTATGAATATTTCAGGGAGGTCTT